TGCAGACGGAGCATTCTGGGAACACCGTTAAGCAAATTTTTAAGTGGTGCCAAAATCTGGCTGTCCACTGAGACGCTGGCAAATGAAGACTGAGGTGATGTGATTTAAAGGTTTGGGGAGAATACAGCATATCATTTTGTCTTTTCTAAGTTAACACTGCTAAATGCGGCATTGAAAGCTGTAATAATTTTTATATACAAACCTTACATAAGTTTTGCACAAATATTTAAAAGCAAGGCAAGTCATGCTTCAAATCGCACAATTTTGTCTTCAGGAGTTCTCGTCTGCTGGGGCTTCTGGTCCCTCACTCCTCCTGTCCTTTGGGGTTTGGCTCATTCCATGTGACGGAGCGCTTCATTAGCTAATTGAGAGGCTTGGTGTGGTCATTAATGGGGGTTCTGCTTGAGATATCCTTTTTTCCCAGACAGTGACTGACATGACCCTTTGATAAAACAGCTTGGAAAGCCAAAGCAGTGCAGTGGACATGAAATGACAGCTGAAATCTGGGAACATGCTATTTTGTCAGACAGCCTCTTCAGGAAGAATACTTTCATGCCTAGATACAAACACACTAATGTTCTGTGACTTATCACCCTACACATCTGCTAATGCAGTGTGTATCCACGAGAGGGGCTGTTCCTTTTTCTTTCTCTCCACAAAATGTGTTCATGAACAATTAGTCAGATTTGTGCTCTTTGTCATGAGCTTGACTTCAGACTGTAGAAATCCAGGTCAGGACAATGCACTGTTAACCTTAAAACATTTTACTGTAGATACGGTATTGTAGTAGCTTTAGAAGTGCCTTTAATTGGGAGGACACAGTAGCAAGATTACTCTAATGCAGCTGACAGCCCCCAACTTTTCACAATAGATTGTTGTGGCAAGTTCTTGTTCCATCTCCTGCCTCCCCCTCTCCACTTCTGGAAACAACAGGTGTCCAGATGAGATTCTCACTTTTTTATATAGGCATCTCAAATCCTCAGCATTATGTCCCTGCCCAGATTCCCATCCCTGCCAACCATCTCATTTTTTTGTAGGATGAAGCAGCTTTCAGCAGAACTCCCCCCTGAGCCAAGCTGGGCTCCAGAAAGGAAGGCTCAGTCGGTGCTGGGAGCCCCACGAGGGGTGGTGGTGCTGCACTCACTGTGGGCAGGGGCTGGAAGAGCAGGAAGTGGTGCCTTCTTTTTGCATTTGTGCACATCCACACGGACAGTGCAGTGGACAAGCACTGCTTGAGGGATTTAAATCCAACAGCCTCCATCTGCTTAATGCAGCAGCCTACTTGCTGTGCTAAAACCTTTTAAATGATACCTCTCTCTGGATGCTGTGCCAGAAAAGGACTCAAGTTTCCCAGGGAGAAAGGCAGGAGTGTGAAGAATATTGGGAGGGTGGAGGAATAGTGATGGTCATTGTCAGAGGTTGAGGTTTCTATCATCTGCCTTCCCAGCGATGCTGTATTTCACAGGAAACCACGTCTGGGTAAAACACAAATGCTGTTGAACTCACACTGAGCCCCTGCTCACAAGTGAAGGCACCAAAGGCCTTAAATGATGGACTATAAGCTGTTCTCAGTTTTTGTGGGGAAAGAAGAAAGCTGCACGATGGTAATACACAGGATAGTAGAGCTTAAAAAAGGTGGAGAGGGACAGGATTTGGAGACCTTGTTTTGTTTGTCTGACTGAACTGGTCTTCAGCACAGCCTGAGTCACAGAGCGCAGGTGGGATGTCTGAAGTCGCTCAAGGATTTGTTTCAGAGAACTTGCATCTGGAGTGGCCTGGCAGGTGCTCTGTGCTGGAACAGCCCAGCACACCCAGCACCGAGTGTCCCGGGCTGTTCCTGCGCTCCAGGGCTGTGCTGGGGCTGCAGAGGGAGGGGCAGGGCCATGGCCAGGCTGAGCTGGGAGCGGGGCGGGCTCCTTTGGAACTGCCAACCCCCCAACCCCGTGTTAGTGAAAGCTCTGTGTGCACACACAGCCGTGCCTGCCCGTGGGCACAGGGCTGTTGGCAGACAGAGCCAGAGCCTTCTGCTCAACTGTTTGTGAGGAAAAAACGTGTATTCAGCTCAATTGCCTAATTGTGCTGCAAGGCGGGCTGAACATGTTACATGGTCCACAAACCAGTTGAGTTTATTTCCAAGCTTGCTGGAGCAGTCATCTCACTTGGTCAGTTCATTATTCAAACATTTGTATTAGTCTGCTTTTGTGATTTCCTTTTTCCCATTAGCTTACTGCTTTCCCTGGCCTGATACTTGACATAACAGACCTCAACCTGTGTGCTTAGTGTCTTTTGGTACCAGTTTTTTTTCTTTTAAAATGACAGTTGACTATATATATTTTTTTGTCTTTAAAAGTATAACTTCTTTGGTTTAAAGGTACCAAAAATGTGTAAATAAATACCCCACAAAAGCAGCTGGTGGAATTAAAAAAAAAAAGTTAAGGCTAGTACCCTTTGGGGGAAAAAATGGGTACTATATTTAAACAGAATTGTCTTTTATAAGGAAATTATAGACATTTTTACATTTCAGTTCTAAGATGTGTACAGATGCTGCAGAGGGTCTTTGTATTTTATATATATAGCATGGGAGGGGGCTAAAAATAATATGCCTTTAAAATAAACAAAACCTGTTGAAATATGTATTTGCCAAACAGATTTAAAAAGACATTTTATACCATTCAAAAAGGGGAGTCAGGTAAGCAGAGGCTGAGAGGGGGCACCTCCTGCAGAGAGGAGGGGAAGGGATCCACCTTTCCCTGGACATGTGGACAAGGTTCTGCTTCTGGTGTCCACGGCCTTGCCTTGCAAGGAACCTGAGCAACTGCTGTGTCTGTGTGAGTGAGTGTGTGCCTGGGGGTGTTGGCTCTTCCTCTCAAGTTACACATCTTAACACTTTTTAATTTACTTTTGGAAGACAGGTACTAGATGTTAATTTTGAAATATCCTCCACTGCACAGTTGCCTTATCAAGTCAGCAGGGACTGCTCTAATAACTTTCAAAAGCAATTTTGGGGTTTGAGTAGGTATCTCCAATGTCTGTGTACAGAGTACTGACATGCAAGTGTGTATATATATATGTGTGTATATATATATATGTACACATTTTCAAATTTTAATTTCTGTTCACCGTTTAAAACAAGATACTGTTAATGCCATTTTGGTGTTGCAAGAATAGAAAAGCTACCAAGAAGCTCATCTTTTTTTGTCTGTTGGGAGAAAAGCTGGGTTATTGCAGCTGTTCCTGGCTGTGCCAGGGCTTTGTACCACCCTGGAACCCCCACAGGGAGCTCAGAAGCTGAGGGGCTTTAGTGACCCTCAGTTCCTGGGAGGTGGAGGTGACTGTGGTGGTACCTTTGCCCTCCCTTCACTGCTGGATCAGAGATGTGGCTTTCCTTCCAGAAATGCAGGGGTGGGGGTGTCTGCCCAGGCCTGCAGCACCACTCTGATATAACTGCCTTGTATTCTTATGAAAATGTAGCAAGTTGGGCAAATGTTTTGGTTACTCTCAGAGGGAAAAACATTAAAACCAAAAAAATTCTAACATATATTTAAGCAAAGGATGAAATCTTAAATTTGCCTCTAACAAAGAGACAGAAATCTGTACCTCAAATTGCTGTAGGCAGTAGGTTTCTAATGCTGTTGCTGTGATGGTTTAGAGTTCACCATTTTGACTGAAACTAAAACCTTTGTGCCTGATAATGATTTACTGAGTAAAATAGCAGTGGCAGGAAGATGATAAAATCCTGATGCTGAGTTGTGAATGTGAAGTAAATTAGAGTCAATAAAAGTTCATACCTTTCCACAGTGAACTTCAGGCAGTTTTCTTTCACTTCCTCTAACAATAAAATAGGGGGGGTGTTTGTTTTTTCCAAGAAAAGCAGGGACACTGTGCTGAAGAAAGATGATTAATAAAAATAATGTGCAAATTATCTTTATTCCTTGCTATATTCTATTAGAGTGTCTGCTGTTTGCATGGTAAGCAGAATTTCTAAAAGCAGGAAAACTTCCTTAACTCAGTGTGAGAATGAAGACTCCAGAGAAAAGATGTCGGCTGCATGTTAAAACTGAGAGAAAGCTGCAGGATTCTGGTGTCCTAAAAGGGAAATAATCTTTTTAATTCTATTCCAAGTGACTGACGTATTTCTGAGTGAGCAAACACATCAGTTAATGTGGGGTAAAACTGACTGTACTGAGTGACACACTGCAAATGAGTGTGGTCACATGGGCACTGACCACCTCCTGTCTCTACCAGAAACATTTCCCTTTACACAGGTAATACAGATATTCACAACACAAGGGCCTGTTAAATAAATTGTCCTTTCATACAGAGCAGTGCATTAAAAGTGCATAAAACTGAAGTTTTATGCCTTGCTCTCTGCCATCACTGAGCACCTGTATTTTTTTACATTCAAGTGCAAAATTCAAACACGCAGTACTAAGTGGGGGCAGGGAGAGAACCTGACACTCCTGTAAGGGTGCTGTGCTTGCCTTGCAAGGAAACTTGCACACCATGATGAATTTGAGCTACACAGGCAACACAGAAACAACCCGGACTTGATGCCCCAGATTTTACATTGAACAGGATGTTCTCAGGAGGTACAAGTGTGATGGCAGCTGCTTCTCTTCACTGGATTACCTCTCATAGAATAAGTTATGAACTATGGATGGAAGAGAAGGGCTCTGCTCTTCTGAACCCAAAGTGACGTGTAGGAAATCAGTCTTCTCAAAGTGCACCGTAGTATGCTTTGTGCTAAAAAGGACACAGTAACGTTCCAAGGAGCCAGAATTTTAGAAGAAACTGTTTTTAATAAGCAGCAGGCAGTGGTGTGTTACCCCCCTGGTCAAACCTGTGTGTCAGCTGAGGCGTTGGCTCTTGCCCCCCATGGCCTGCACGTGACACACCTCCACAGCAGCTCCCAGGCCCTGCAGCTCGCTCAGCCACAGCATCTGCTTGGGCGACAGCCGGTCCTTGGGGCCCTTCACCTCCACCAGCTGAAAACAAATGGGCACAGTTACCAGTGTGCCTGGGCAGGAACTGCAGCATCATTCCCACACAATAAGCATTATTTTATGGCTGTTACATAGTAAATAGCCACCAAAACACAGAGGCCCTGGTGAATGAAGATCTCTCATACTCAAAAATCAAGCACCTGCAACCTCACCTGTTCCAGCCGAGACTGACACAACTTACTCAGGTGTTCCAGAGAACTAATTTCTGCTATTCAGCTCTCTTTTATAAAAACAACAAGTTGCTTCAGCAGGTGAGATGTCCAGTAGTCTTCTAGTACCTATTCCTCTACCATGCAAAACACCAGCCATGACTGTTTACTCAGTTTTTGTGGCAGACTCTGACATAGTTGTCGAAGACTCAAACAGTCATGTTTTAAGTGGTGCCAGTCGACCTCCTTGCTACCCACAGTCAGTGGGTCTGACTGATTGATAACAGCTGCTTTACATTATTTTAATCAAAGATCTATTCCGCACCAACACAGCCAGTGTTTATTCCTGCTGATTCTGATTATGCCCATTGAAGTTACAGCACAGTGGGATGAAACAGCAGAGAACCACCCACTGCTGGCCGTGGCTGCTGGCAGCCCAGCAGCAGCTTTACCTGCACCACAACAGGAGGGCACAGTTTGGATGGGCTGACAGCTGGCAGTTCCCACCTGAGCACTGAGTCTTTCCATGCCCTCCCAAGGTACCTTGAAGTGCTGTGTGTGTGTGCTCCACACCACCAGGTCAGGCAGACCTCCCCGGCAGTGGCGCAGGTCTTTGGACAGTCGCCTGAAAACCCCGCTCAGGAACATTCCTCCAAGGCAGGAGACAAGGCTCTGCAAAAGAGGTTTTGGTGGTTGGTTGGATTTGTCTTTAATTTCCTGTAGAGCCGTTTCCCGACCCTCAGGAGACTATTGTATGGCCCAGCTCAGCTTTTTGTTTAGTCTGGTGTAACAGGAAGCATAAGTAGATGTTTTCTACAGCAATTTCCTGCTGTGTTCCCAACTGCTGTTGCAGGAAAAGTGACCGTATCACAAAATTGTAACAGTATTTGTGCAGGGACTTTAGCCCAAGTCTCCCTATTCCCAACTCCTCCCTCCCACCACTCTCCCTCCTGCAGTGCCTCAGTACAGCCTGTGACACACCATGGCCATGTGTGATCCAATGACAACCCTAATCAGAGGCCCCATGCTGGGCAACAGTTACTTACCTGGGCTTGCTGGAGGGAAATAAAACGTCCCCAGCTCACTAGTGCTGCTGCTTTCCCCTCCTGAGTGGTCCAGACGTCAGCAATCAACTTTGCCAGTGTCTCTGGGGAGGCTGAGTGCAGCTGCTGCAGTCTGGCCTCGATGACATCCCTCCTGCTCTCATAGAAGCTGTCAGTGTACAAATCCAGGGGGGACGTCTGTGTAAAAACGTAAATGCAGCTCTGAGGAGCTGCCAGCACAGCTGGCACAAAGACAATGCCCTATTGCATACTTTTCTTAACTACAAATTCACTCAAACACTGATCTAACTTGAACATGTCCACCAGATAAACATTTATTAAATTACATTTTAACACCCAGCTCTGAACATCCCAGCGTGTAAAGCCCTTGCAGCAGTTCAGGTTTGAACACTGCTGGGACAGGCAGTACCCGAGTGCTGGGCCAGCTTTTCAACAGCAAATGCAGAGTGCTTAGCAAATGGCACATTTCAGCCTCACACAACCTGCTGCCACAGATAATTCCACAAAAATACAGCCTGCTAATGAATGAGGGGTGAGCTATCAGCTCATCCTTGTTTATGCCTGATGCTCATGATAGCTTTGCTCTGAATTAATAAGGAAAAACTAGTTTAAAAAATAAATTTGCAAGTGATCTGTAAATACTGGGTTTGTAATAAACACATAACCAGACAAGTTTTAGGGGTTTGGCTTTTCATTTTTTTTTAAGTAAGTATAATATGCATATAAGATTGTATGAAAGGTATTTAGAAAGGCAAGCTCTACAGTAAATGGTGGTTTGCACTGAAAGAACACCTGCTTTTAACACAACATTCACAGAGCTTCAGCATCTGACAAGACCAGCAGATACTCCACAGAAGGAGCCACTGGTACGAATTCCATGGCACAGTTTTTGTAAGGCCTTTGGGTCTACAGCAGTGCCCTTCCTGCCTGTCTGTGAGCCTGGGGGGTTTCAGCTCAGCCACAAGGATTTCTACTCCTACCTCAGACTGCTGAAGAAACATAAAAACGTAGGAGGGGAGAAGACAAGAATAACCCATATACTTCACCTCTAAAATAAGAATTTTCTACTTAAGGTATCTCATACTGATATAAAATTATAATTTCTTGCAGTACAAATAAATCCAGTTAAGGAAGAGAACGGCATTGTCTGGTCTCCCTCTTGGCCAGGAATTCAACTAGAAGCACTGAGTTAAGGTGGAAGAAAGAAGACAATTATCTGGCCTTTTTTTGTTCTGTAACATTTGAGATGGATTTTTAGGGTTTTCTTAGCAAATGTCACCAAGTGATCAAGTTTTCTAATCACAATAATTTTCTAGCTGTAATTTGTAGGATGTAAAGCATTCAGCTAAAAGCCACAAGTTCACCTGGAATCATCACTCTCAGGGTGTGGCAGGCAGCTGTTGCTGGGGGGAACCTGGAGTGTTGTTTTCTTGTTTGTTGCTTTGTCAAAAAGGAGGGATGGTCCCAAAAGCATAAACATGGTGGGGTGGGGTAAGTGGGGGTGTTAACAAACCTAAGTTTAAAAATGTGACAACCGTTAAAAGGCTACTAAAAAGAAACAGACTTTTCTTTTTTTTTCTTTTTTCTTTCTCTTTTTTTTAATGGGATGTGTCATCTTCAAAGGAGATGAACAAGGCTGTGGTATAGCAGTGTTCTACTAACTATAATGGAAATTTTGCCTGGTGAGCTCAGCTGCAGGACACATGCATTTAACCAGATGAATCCCACCCTATCAGACTGTGAACCCAGACTGACATAGCAATTAAGTTACTGAGGATTACTTAGTAATAAACCCAATATAACAAATAATAAAATGAAGGAAACACCCTGGAAATTCCCTCAGAATAAAACGCTAATCCAATCCCAAATAAGATTTTAACGTGGTTACTGAGCCTACAGCAATGGGTAAATACAGTAACTAAAGAAAGCCTTTCAAAGTTACCTGATAGGAATTTCTGAAAACATCAGGTATGTCATCCATGAAAATGATATCCCACATTAGAATCCCATACAGTGTAAGAAACGTTGAGCCTTCCCCATGAATACCTAAAGGGCAAAATTCAATAAAAATGGAAACATCAATTTCTACAGCAACCTGAGGAAAAATGAAACCACCCCGAGCCAAAGCAGGAACACCACGCTCAGGTTCCTGCCCAGCTGAAGTCAGCACGTGTTCCCATTACAGCACAACACTGCAAATCCACTTTATTCCTGCCCCCTCTGCCAGCACCTGCTGCTGCCTGGCCAGGGGCCTTCAGTCACAGCCCAGGGCTGGATCATGGCCCTTCCACAACAAGGCTGACCTGGACAATTTTTAAATACACAACTTTTGCAACATCAAAAAGCAATATCTTGACACCAAAAAGTTTATATGGATAGAAATGCTATATATTAAAGATATACACACACATCCATGGAGCTGTACACACCCAAGTCTGTAGACATGTGTTCATCCACATGTATCCACACGTGTGCTGGAAAAAGCACTCACCAGCTGAGCAAAGCCCAGCCAGTGAACACACAATGCAATACATGAAAACCCAAATGTTTGGATATATAAAACTGGGTTTATTACATTTACATAAATATACATATATATATAAAAATGTATCTGTATATATGTATGTGTATATGTGTATGTACACATATATGTGTGTACACATGTGTGTATATATGTAATATACTCCATTTTTATATAACTTTTTTTCTCAATATATAACATTTTAGAGTAATACTGGTTGAGCATTAGTCTGGTAGAGCTGACTGCTTTTCCATCATCTTTTTTTATTTCATCCCTGTCACTTATTAAACATAGGGAGACACATATATTTAAGAATATATATATATATATATATATAAAACACACAGAGATACATATATATATATATAAACATAAGAAAACAATTTTTCACTGTGAAGGTAACAAAGCACTGGCACAGATTGCCAAGACAGCCTGTGGAGTCACCATCCTTGGGGATACTCAGAAGCTGGCCATGGTCCAGGGCAGCTGGCTCTTGAGCAGAGGGTTGGACCAGGTGGCTCCCAGAGCTCCTGCCAACCTCAGCCTCAGCTCTTGAGGTGTGTTCTGTTCTCAGTCTATTAGTACAGCATATTATCTATGATATTGTATTTAATGTTACGTGTCACACCTATAGATCACAGGATATCTGTGCTGTCTGTACTATATAATATATAGTGTCTGTGTATTACACGTGTATGACACATCACACAGATGAGAGAGAGGAGACCACGTGTGCTCTGGGCTGTGTTTAGTGCTGGACTGGGCATTCTGGTTCCTCAGGCCCAGCCCTAAATCACACATGGCCATTGTGTGCTCAAAACTGTGCTGAGCCACCAAGATCCATGGTGAGAGGGTGGGAGTGAGGAACTGAGAGGGGATTTCAGCACAATTCTTCTAAATTCTAAATATTGTCACCTTCTCATTTACCCTTTCCTGATACAGCCACTTTTCCTGCAATGGTATTCTGGTACATATCAATAATATAAAACTATATTAAAATATATATTTTATATAAAGATACAAATTTTATGTTAAAAAATAACCTGCCTACCTGTTTGCATATTGCTTTTTTTCCTGTAAAACAGATCTATATATTCTTACTTGTCCGTGGCTTTTCACAGCTCCTAAGTTGTAAAAATATAGGAACAACTACTAATAGAGCCTTCCAAAAAATTGCCAAGTGTCTTGCTAGTGGTATATACTGTTTTCATCTTCACCTAGTACCAAAAATCAGTTTTCCTTGGTGACACTCCCTTAAATGACAATGCTAGCATTTTACCCTTAAGAAATAAAATAGCTGTTCACTGGTAAGAAAGGCAAAGTAAGTGATTTTCAATGAAGATAAAGAAGAAATACACATTTCAAAACCACCTTTGGTACATGAAGGCAGCAAATAATTAAAGGCCAGGAAGCAGGTCAGTTTGAAAATATATGTTAGAGCATTTTGGTAAGGAAATGATGTATTAGAGGCATTTGGGAAAGAAACGGAATCAGACTAAAAACTGGTCTAATGAAATCAGCTAAAACTAGTCTATTAACTAAACTGATTAGGAAATAGGTTCTTTACTCCCACAGTTATTTTACTGTAAAATGCCCAAATAAATGGTACTGTTACCCTGATCAAAACCATTCCTCCTGTAATGAGTTAATGCCAGCTCCTCAACTGAGCACATGACTGTGGATACACTGCAGCCTTCGCCTCCTTCTTCATCACCAACATCCTCCATGAGAAATACGGATTTTCCCATTCCCGTCTGAGGACACATCTTTCCATTGATTGTAACCTGAACACAATAAAACATCTGGTTACTTTCCAGCATCACATTTAAAAAGCTTTAGCCTAAGTATTTGGATCTTGCCTAAAACACACATTCCTCCTTTTCAGTTTTCTTAAAATCAGAACTAGACTTGTTTCCAAAAATCAACTGAATAAAATTTACCCTGCCGTAACTTGTGAAATCATTCAGTTTAGCTTTCATAAACTGGCAAACTTTTCAGAAAAAAAAATGTCTAGCAAAAATCCTGGGCAGGTGGCAATGTAGCCTTTCTATATGCAGGACCAGGAGGAAAGAATACAGAAGGCTGAGGAGACTGATTCTGGACTGACACAAAGAAGGGCTGTAGGGAGAGATGTGGTGAGGAGAGAGAACAAGTGAGGCTCTGCTCTGACTTTGACCAGACAGAATTATCTTTATGATGGTATGGAAAAGAAAGAGTTAAAAAAATCCATCCCAATATGATGCAGCTGCACCCCACTGAATATTTGCACAATACATATTTAGAGTGCATACCTCCCAAAGGTTACTAAAAGAACACTGGCATTTTTTAGCCATTAATCTAATGCAACAACATGCTAAGGAAGCTGCTATTACTTTTTCTTGCACACAAAATGCTTGGCTTGCAGACACCAGACACAATGCACTGATCTGCTCAGGAAGGCTCCGAGCATGTACTGTTACATTAGTGGAGTTTACAGCTGATCAGGCTCATAATACATATAATACAATTCAAATTTAACCAGTGTACAGCTGACTAATTTCAGCTATGAAGCTGACCAACGTAGAAGTATTTGCTCATGAGAGGCTTTTGTTTTAGAAACACATTTGTATTCATTTTCCTGCAGCACAAGTAAGTCAGAGGCTGGTGCGCAGCACGTAACGAGACTCTCCCAGGTGATCTTCTCTTGTCAAGAGTAAAAAAGACCTCATGAGTTGTTATTTCCCAGACACCAGCAGCACCCTTACTCACATGTGGCACATCCTGCACAGGGATGACTGGCAGCTCCTGGAGCAGGCCCCTGACCTGCCTGCAGCTCGGCGAGTCTCTGATGCGCAGGGCCCGCAGGTAGAGGGACAGACGGTGCCCGGTGCGGACACAGGGGTCTGCCAGCCCCTTCCTAATGCAGCCCACGGCCTGGCAAAGAGCAAGGGAACCAGCAGGAACTTAGAAAGACCCACGGACACCTGTCTGCTCAAGAACAATCCATTTAAGGAGCACAAAAATGTAAATGTAAAAACCAGCATACCAGGCCAACCAAGGATGGGGTACACTCAATATTCATTCTCTTAGGAGGAACTGATTGCCTTGACCTTGGCATTCCTACCAATATCTACATTGTTAGGAGATCCTACTCCACTGTTCTTTTCATAAGATGTGTTTTTAAAACAACATGTTTTCAGACAACAAGTGCAGCGTTTCCAGCTTTACAGCAGATACCTTGGCAGTGTTTTTCAGGTGCTGATGTAGATTGAGAGCCAGCCGGTCCCACCATCTCCCTCTGCTGTCAGCACAGTACACATCCTGAGCCAGGAGGGTCTGCAGCTCCTGCACGGCCTCCTGGGCAATGGCACGGGATGCTCATTAATTGAGTTACAAAGCCAAGGGCAAGTTAGCTTGTCACCTTCCCTTCTAACTAATGGATACTATAAAACTTCGTCTCTGCACAATTCAAACCTGCTTTTTACTCCACTACCCAATATACTCAATTCAAGTGCATGGATGTATCTTAAAAACTCTAGAATAGAGATATTTTTATGTAAACTTAAAGGCTAACTGCCAAAATTTTAATATTTTTATCCTTTCTGTATTCCTTATTGCATATGAAAAATATCTGAGTATTACTAGTTGCCTTTTTGCAGAAGCAAAGTCTTTTTCAGAATAATCTGATTTGCTTTAACATATAAGCCAGAGACCTTTGGGGATGTAAGCTCCCAAGGTGAAGAGGCAGAGATTTCAGAAGACTTCTCTTCTGAGATTTTTCTTACTTAAAAACAATAACCAAATCTAGTGAAACACAGGTATCTTTAAATAATGAAACAAGCATATCTCAGCAATATGGTGTATTACAGATAGTAAATCTACAAAGCACAAGCAGAAATCAAAACAACTTTAAACTTTCTAAAGCAGCACAAAAAAGGGCTCTTTTCCTTTAAAAGTAACCTGTTACTAGAACTATAGTAATCCGTAGCAAACACTGTCACTATTTTCCGGCCACATCAGAAAAGTAAATTGATGTACAATCCTCCATTAAACACAGATTCCTACTCACCACTTTACCTTATACTTGTGAAGTCTCTGCAAAATTTCAACACCGTGAGAAAGGATTCTTGTGTACACCCAGCCCACCGTGAAACGTCGCAGATACTCCGGTAAAACTCTGTGATAGCTAAAAAGTAAGAGCAGCTCAGATCATTTAAATATGGCCATTTGAATTCTTAAAGCTATGCCTAAAACATTTACAAAAATTAAATGCCTTATATAATCCAACTGAACTGGAATGAGCATCCCAGCTGCCAAGTCAAGAACCCAAAGGTAAAGCAATAGTTGAGCTGAGGGAGCAAGCTGCCCTTGCACGGTGTATTTTAGATTCCACAGCAGTGGAATTTTTAGTTAATCAGTTTTACATAAGATGCAAAACAGTAACTTATTACATCATGTGTTGTTACTGCCAGTCACTCTCATAGAAGTTTATCTTTGGAAACATAGCTGAACAAAAGAAAAAGTCTAGAACAGGAATTTCCTGCCATAAAAAGAAGACTAACATCTTTTCAGTAGGCAACTCTATACTTCAAGACAAAGTCTTTTGAATGTCTTATTAAAATAGATTTTTCCACTGTCTTCAGTGTGAAATGGAACAGACTTCCAAATGACCCTCTATGAAGGGTTACACTGTTTTAAATCAGTTGCCATGGAATTGAAGACAATGCCAAACATAAGGCTTTAACTTTTGGTGTATCATTAAGCCGGAAAACAAAATAATTAAAAGAAAAACTGATGAAGAATGCTTCAAAACCAACACATTTTAGTTCGGTTCTCAGATATTCAGTATCATTCCCCTGAATGACCCCACTTGGAAGTCTAAAGACATGAATAACCCAGTATGTGTTCCCATAATATTTGCAACATCCTTTTGTTCACACTGAATTTTACATTCTGCTTATTGCCATTTATCTGAAAGCCATAAAAACAAACCATGACAAGGGAAAAATAAGGCTCTTGTTCTCCTGCATTGCACATAAAACAGAAATGTTTTAATGCTTTATCAGTGCCTAGCAATCAATTCCCAAGGTTTTATAATTTTCATATTATCACTTAAAAGCTAAACAAACAATGAGGAAGATCAAAGCTTTCAAGAATATTAAAGCCTCTAAATTTATCAGGCGTAGTCAATAAGCCTCTCTCAAAAGTTAAAGTACCAAAAGTAAGATAATACATTTAATAGTTTCCTATGAACACTAGGCTAGTTTCCAGTTCACTACCTTAAAGAGGGGTGATTTTTCAGTTCGCTCCAGGTTTGTTTAGCACACAAATATAGATTATGAGCTTCTTCCCAGTGCCCATTTACCATTGCAGTGACTATATCATATGACAGATGAGCAGCAGTTGCATACCTGAGGGAAAAAAACACAATAACTTTCTTAGGCTGAAAAAGCATCTATAGTTAAAAGACATCAATTCCTTCCCTTCCAGTCTCCAAAGACATTGAATCATGCAGCCATCTTTTGTCCTTAATCTTGTAGGATTAGCAGAGTTTAAACTAGCAGGGCACATTATGTTTAAACTTACAGACTATAGAACATATTTTTTGTTTAGCTCAGAGTCCCCTTCTAATAATCAGCACAGCAAATGAAGAAACAGCTTTCATCAGCAGACGATCCTGAAGCAAATAAATACGCTATTTTGGATCCAAAGGCAAGCCACTGTGAATTATGAGTCCTACCTGGATACAAAAATGCACTTAAAATCATTACAGAAGCACACTTCTATATATTTACATCTGAAGTTCCCCGTGATGAATTCTTACTTGCCTACACCAGTGCTGCAGGAAAGCTTTTCTAGAAAGGAACAGATGTGCAAGCAGCCAAAGCTCTCCCCACCTGATGAGATCGTCTCTGTCCTGGAAGACCCGGGTGCTCCTGCTCACGGTGTAGGTGGGGAACACGGCCCGGCCCATGCTGGCCAGGAGCACCGTGCAGAGCTGGCCCTGCCCAGCACTCCCCGCCTCCTCCTCCTCCACCCCCTCCGGCAGCGAGAACAGCAGCAGGACCCGGGAGAACACGGCCCGAGGGCCTTTACACACCCTCACACACTTTCCAGCCAGCTCCTTCACCCTGGAGGGACAAAGAAAATTAGTACAACAAGTGATTTTTACTGTCACTTGTAAAAACTAAATTATACTGAGTGAAGTATAAGAAAAATTTTTTTTCAAGCCTATAATGCATAAAATTGATTTTCCTTGAAAGAAGCAGAGATACTATATAGTACATGGAACCTCTAGTGAAAACCCAACCAAATGCATTCACTAATAAAAAATTTAAAGGGCCAACCTTCCAACTGAGCAGAATCAGATCTAACTGCCCCCTTGGGTGCAGTCACTCCTGTTGCTGTGCCAGCCAGTACCATAAATCAACAAGACATGGTTTGCTGTTAGAGAATGTTTACAGGCCCTAATTTGAGATCCATTGTTTCAGGGAACCTCCATTAACCCATTTTCAACCAGTCTTTTCACACAAGCCCAAATTTTGTTGCTTGTCTGCTGGACAGCACAGATTTAGAACCAGATTTTCTGTGATGTCCTGGGATAATCAGTATTTCAGCTGTCATCTACAGCAAAGGGCAATATGTTCCCAAAGCTGGGGGGGCTGAGCAAGTAACTATCAGCCTCTGTTCTTGAAGTAGGGAGTAAGATAGCATCAAGTACTTTTCTGGAATGTAACTAATTTTCCCAGGCTTCTTTCCATTCTTCTAGCCTTTCTCTAAGACATTATTCTGAAAACAATTTTGTTTCTGTTAGAGATATTTATATAAATTGTACATCATGCATTGTCATACAGTTCAAATGTCTAGTATCAAAGAGGAAAAATGAAATCTAAGGATTTTCATACTGAAGTTTTCTATGCTTGGATCAGAATGAGAAAACAACCACAAAATAAGGAAATAAGACCTTAATGATTCACGGCATAATAATTCTTCATGGAGGAAGATTTTCAAGTTCTTCTTCCAATACTAGGCCTCTTCTAATACAAGGAATTTTATGGAAAATCACATGATAGATTTGGGGGGAGAGGAGGAATATTTGTCCAATAAACATAGCTATGCAAAACTTGACAAAGCTTTATATCCCTCTCATTTGAAAAAGAATGCCACAGGAAATACAAATTATGTTAGTACAGCAAATGCAGTACATACTGACTTCTGCCAGGTTTCTATCCAAGCCAAATTTTATACAGAAAGGATTCCACAATTACTGAGTTCAGACCCTAATCACTCCTATTAGGGCAGCACAGCATCTTAAACCTGAACCTGGACTCCAGGAGACCTGGAAGTCAAGGGCCTCTGATACACCCAGCTGTGACAGCCACAGTGAAAACATCACAGGACAGAAAGAACATTTGGTCAAGTAAATCTACTTTTCCCTTTAAAATATTGCCAGAAGGAGTCTCTATGCTACTCAGTCAATCCCAAAAAAGAGACTATTGGTCTCCTCTAGTTCTACCAAAAGAGCTCACAGAGCAAACGAACCTCAGCTGGTTGTTTTAATAGGCAGTGGCCTTTCCCAGACCTTCCTGGATGATTTTCTGCACTGACTCTGCTTTACAGAATTCAGAAATGTTTCTCTGTGTAACCAAGTAACTTTGCAGACAGATAATCATGCCCACAGCTGAAAGCACGACATAGTTTTAAAAAGAGTCCAGTATTTAACCTTCTGTTTGACTTGCTGTGAATCAAAATGTAATGCTTCCTTTTTTACTAATAAATTTACTAAATGCATTCCTCTCTTGAAAAGGCATCTAGATTCCACTCTGTTGCAGTGCAAAATTTAACTATAAACATTTACCTTTTTAAGATCACTGTCCCAACACCAGCCTGACTCCTGCTGAAGACTGAACGCTGTTTTGCCAACCTCAGAAAATCATCCACAAGTTGCTGTTTCTGAGCATTTGGGTTTGGCAAGTGAAAGATCTTTGCCAACGCTTTTAGCTCAGGGGCTGAAAGCAAATCCAAACCTTCACACAGGTCTTCCAGTTCAGATTCTACAAGCAAAATGATCTGATACATTCATTGTGTGTTATACATGTACACTCAAGCAATAGGTCATAGCACATTCATATAACCTGGTACTAATCTGATGACTTAAATTCCTCAAAAATGTACTGTCAGTGTTATCTGGTTCACCCTGAAATTCTTCTGGACTTTCTTCCCAACCTCTTCACAGGTCCAGGTTGAAGGTACAGAAGAATCAGAAGAAAACACCCTTTACAACTTCAAAATAGAAGCAAAAAAAAAATTCTGCTGAGTTACAAAAAAACGCTGTTCAGAAATGCTGTCTTCCCTATTACCCAATTTGCATTATTTTTATTAGTCACAACACAACTCATCTACCTGAAATCTTTATTCTGGTCCTCTAGTACTCTTCCCAAGGCACAGACAAGCCTGTAATGCACTGAACTCTAACATGACCCAACTGCAGACTCTGTATGTAGTATTTCTAAGATTTATCAGTACTGGCCTTACCTGTTTGCAGAAATCTGGCTTCAGCCAGTTCTTTAATCATTGGTGACAAATCCACACTTATCTCTCCATACTCTATTTTGTTCACCTTTAACCAGTTCAGCTTGCGTTGAAAAAGTCTCACATATAACTTCTGCCCACCAACTGCAAATTGGAGTCAAAGCAGGGAAGGATAAAATGAAGAGTAAATTCTAAACACAGCACTATGCAAAATCACTACCTTAACCAGAAAAATTACTTTGATGCAGGTATCCTCTGAAACACATTTTACATCTTGTCACGTTCTACAAGCAGACTTGGTAAAATACCAGAACTTACCTTTTCGAGTAATTAATAAACTCATTAGTATATTTAAGTTCTGTAGGTACAAAAGTATTACAATGTATTTTGCAGCTATTGTACATTGCTAAAATGCATTTTGACATGCTTATCCTTTAAGAAGTAATTTATTTTATAGGAAAAGACAACTTCATTTTTCAACTCTGCATATTGTGATATTAAATAGGTCTTTTTGCTTTCTTAAACAGTCATTCAATAACCAAATATTTTGTGCTAGGGAACAAAAGAAGTCTGACAGAATAATTTCATAATCACAGAATACCTCTCTGTCTAGCAGTCTTCAAATTCTTATTTTTTCAAAGATAAGCCTAATTTTACTAATGTATCTACTGAAAACAACAGAAAAAACCCTGCTATTCATTTTATTTTTATCAGGGAAGTGTTCTCTTAAAGTACCCTTTAAAAAGACTTTTAACATATATGCTGAAATTCAAGAAAACAGCATATTAAATTTTAGCTGAAAATAGTTCAGCTATTGTTACTGCATTCAACAACCTTTTGAATACTTAATTCAACCCTCATTAACTTCGGAATTTTTATCCCTGTCTGCTGCTTAACTGAAACCCATATTTAATAAAAACAGACACTGAAACACTACCAGACCCAGAGATATTCAAGAAACAGCAGATAACCCTGACGTGTCTATTTAACAATTCTCCTGTCCTTAAAAGACTTTTTCAGCCTTTTTTTAATGGAATGTTTCCAGGATCAATTCACTGGGAGAACTATATTTAGACATATGAGCCTGGCATTTTCTCTCTGGGATTATAACTCCTTTGAAGTCAGTTCCCAGTTTTTACAAGTCTGGAGAAAGGAAAAAGGTTAACACATGAACATCCTTTCCCCAGCCCTTGGAGCTGACCAAGCTGCAATCCAGCAAGGGCATATGAGGACTGCTTGCTCTCTGAAGGATTTGAATGACAAACAGAGGAATAGAAAGATATTGTGCAAGTAATTAATTGCTCCTGAAGCACCCTGTTCTGAAGTGCATTCACTACCTTTGGAGGTTTGGGAGATTTTTTTCTTTTGTGGTTCTTAAGAAAGTTTCAAGTATATTAATGAAATAAAAAATTTGCTCTAAGTTGAAATATTATCAGCAAAAAGATGCAGAAGATCTTAGAAAAGTTCACCCTCCGTGATTCATCAAAATACAACAGAAAAAAATTGTTTTCTGTACCTTAGTTCCACTGGTAACTATAAATCAGTGTTTTTCAGATACAATATTTCTACTGTATGAAAGCTGAAAGGAGGATTTCACTGAGTGCATTAGGTTAGTGTCACTAGAACTATGAACTTGCATTTAAATTCTTGCAGCTGTACCTTGTAGCAAAATTAAACATGGAGAATACAAAAATCATGTTTTTAATGTTACACCTAATTTCAGACAGAACTCATCTTAAGCCCAAAGGATGACACTGCACTGCAGGTTACTTATTATGGATACACCTCTGCTTTCCCCTACTTTCATCTACTGTTTCTGGCACTTAGAAAACTGGCAGTGCTCTACATTTCATAATAAGTTCACAAACTTTCATAATAATCTTCATAACTTCAGTGAGTTAGAGATCTCTCATTGAAGAATGGTAGACATTTCAGCAGAAAATAATGAAATACTGAAAAATACCTATATTGAAGCAACTCCATAGTACTAGGCACTTGTGTTGGGTTTTTTGTGTTATGATAACTGAAAGGCAACACCTGCTTGGTTAGAAACTTCTAACGTGGGACAGATAACACATCTACCTGAACTTTTAAAGTATTCTGTCTGGTATTTCTTCAAGGAAAAGATTTCTTCATCTGTCAGTTGTCCAGAATTTGTTATCTATTGAGTTAATGCTATCCAAGCAGTTCTCATAGCTCAATCCTTGTGTTTTTCCTACCCTGCAAAGAAAGATTGTTTTATCTGTGCCCCTGGCATTCAATGCATACATGGATTTACCAGCACCACTCTGCAGTAATTCTTTCTGTATTCCAAACTCCCGCGAGAAGGGAATTCTGAAATCACACTACTGAAAGAGAAACAAGCACTTCCTTTATTTAAGAGAACAAGCTCCTGTTACTGATCAGTGTTGTACCCACCCAGAGAAGGGAGTGTGGAAATGAGGAACCTGTATCCTGAGCCTCTTTTAGTATTTGTCCAGGTAACCAAAGCCTGCACACATGACTGACCTAACTGTGAGTTTATGCCTAGATCTTTGGATGCAAATGATGTGCATCTACTGCTTGCCTCGGAGAGCCAATAATAACAGTTTTGTTGCTTCTGTTCCTGCCTTTATATATTCCTCTTTTAACTATCACAACATAAACAAGGCGTTATCAAGCCCCAAGATGTCACTATTGTGACATTCTCCTGGCCTGGAGTGCACCCACAGGCTCTGCAGCCACACCCCAGCCCCCCCAGGTTTGGCTGCTGGTGTCCAAGGCCAGCTCGGATCTGTGCAACTGTGTAAGCTGAGCTCAGGTGCTGGGTGGGCTGAGCAAAGCTTTGTCAGGGCCCCCCTCCATTCTCTCAGGAGCTGTACCTAAGCCCAGACTAGTGGCCTGCACTCCTGCCTGAGCTCTGCTGTGGCATGTCAGTGCCCAGCCAGACACCTCACTGACTTGGCTTCACCCCAGAGTCATTACAGACTTGCCCGCAGACCTTCCTTACAAGTCTTCACTTTTTATCAACACCTTCCATTTAAACAACATGAGGAGAGTTTACTTACAAGAAGCCACTGAGGGATTCGCCTCCTGAGGAAAAGGAGCTTCTTCCCCTTAAGGAACTCATGCAGTTAAATTGCCCATGATATAGCACTCCTCACATAAAACTATGCAACAGTAATGTGGAAATGTATTTTTAAAAAAAGGTACCTGATAATTTGTAGAACTTGGTTATAATGTTCATATCTTGCTCATCAAACAGTCTGACGTCATCTTCATTCTCTAAGACTGCTTGAAGCACTAGTAAAAAATTCTGGAGGTAGTATGGGTGACCAGGAGAGCTGGGCACAGAGGGAACCTTATCTAATTTGTCTAAAACGTCCCCAGTGGAATTCTGAAATTCTTCTTTTCCCACAGTTTCCAACATAGTATAATTCATCTCATCCTTAAAATCTTCAAGAACTTCCACAGGAAGTATCTGTGCATCACCCTCGCTACAGCAATTTTGTGTATCACAGTCCACTTCTGTCTTGGAAGAAGGAATAACCTGGGTGTGAGGCTGAGTCTTGACTTCCAAATTACTGGTCAGCTCTGGTGAAGTATAAATGGCTGGAGGTGTTTCAAATTTATCAGGACTAAGTGTCACACCTTCAGACCTGCTTTCAGTTTTGGTGTTCCTTGTACAACTTTGGAATCCTTTGTCATTGTTATCAGCTGGTAAAGATACCTGAACTATATCCACAAGGTCTTCTTGATTACATTGGTTTCTTTCTTTTTGAAATTCAGGTTTCCTCTTTGAAAAATTTTGTTCCTCGTGCTCTGTCTGCGCAAGTTGATTTTCTTTCTGAGAACTATGGCCAGCATAAATATCATCATCATCATCCTCCTGTGCTGCAGCATTTCTGCACAGACTGTGAACAGCCGGAGGTGAAGAGTCAATCTCTTTATACACGACCTGTTTTCCTCCCTGGGCACAACGTCTTCTGGACAGTTTCGATGACAAGCTTCCCAAAGAGACTATTTTGACTGTTTGAGCCTGTGATTCATTGTTAACACTAATGACTGAGCTATTATTGCTAAAATAAGGACTAATCTGTTGTGCTGCACTACCTTCTGCTTTCAGTGAATTGCTTTTGGAGGGACTTGTTTCTAGATTTAAGATGTTTTTTGAAAAGTATGAGCTGGAATTATTGGTTACATTTGCAGCTGAGGGACTCTTATTCTTCAGAGGGTCCAGCGTAGCACCAATGGCACCAATCTCACCACGGTTTTTCTGACATGTTTCATCCATGTGCTCATTTATTCCATACCTTGGCACCAATTGCCCACACATGGGACAGCTAATTTTGGCAGGGGGAACATTGTTAAAAAAGGAAGTAATAGAGGAGGATGCTGAAGGTATAGATGGTGTTCCTTTTTTCTTCTTACTTTTACTGAGTGACAAACTTATTTGGGATCTTTTGATTCCTGAAGACCTAGCTTCTGCCATTACAAAACTTCACAGCATTTACACAGCACAGGAAACTCCATTCGAGCCATATTTCCTTATTCTGTAATACTTAGAAGGCTTTTCTTGGCTTTGCATTTTCCGTCTGTAATCCTCTGACGTGTCTTCAAGAAAAAAAAAAGATACTGAATGAATGACCCTGTAAGGTACCAAGCCAAGGTTCAACCAAGATGAACAGCAGAGAAGAAAACATTAAAGCCTACAGGTTAAGAAGTTAAGCAGTCCTTAACTGTTCCAGTGTTACCATCCTTTAGCCTGCCTTACCGGGCACACCAAAATTGCCATGCTGAACGCTGCAGCTGGCCTTCAACAGTTTAATACATGGAAATCAATCTCAACTTTTCATTTACATCATTAAGTGAACCTGGCATTTAAAATAGTCCTCTAATTTTCACAGAATCCCAGAAGAGTCAGGGTTGGGCCCAGGACGGGCCCTCTGGAGATCCCCCAGTCCCACCCCCTGCCCAGGCAGGGTCACCTGGAGCAGGGACACGGGGACACGTCCAGGGGGGTTTGAACGTCTCCGGAGAGGAGACTCCACGGCCTCCCCGGGCAGCTGCTCAGGGCTCTGCCACCCTCAGGGGAAAGAAGGTCTCCCTCCTGTTGAGGTGGAACTCCTTGTGTTTATGGCCATTGCTGCCCATCCTGTCGCAGGGCACATTCCGTCATTACCTCGTTTGCTGTGCAGACAGACTATTTTCGGCGCCAAACACCCGCCTTTCCAGCTGCGGCTGCCCCAGGCCGGGCCGGGCCGGGCTCTCCGAGGCTGCCGGGCACAGGCGCTGCGAGGGCTCCGGCCGCTCCCCGCGTGTTCCTACCGGGACGGCGGCGCCTCGGGTCCCTCCCCCATTCCCGGTGCTGCGCCCCGGGCTCCCGCCCCCATTCCCGGTACTGTGCCCGGCCGTGCCCGCCCCTCGCCGGCCCGGCGTCCCTGCCGCTCCCCGCGCCGGGAGCACCCAACCGGGCCCTGTCCCGGGAGCCCGCCCGGCCCTCCCCGCGCACCGGCACCGCAGCCGCGCGTCGCTCCCGGGGCCGTGCGGGGCCTTACGGGGCCGTGTGGGCAGGGCCGCGAGGGGCCGGGCCGTGCGGAGCCGTATGTGCCGGGCCGTGAGGGGCCGGGCCGTGTGTGCGGGGCCGCCCCGCTCCCGCCCCCGCCAGGCCTGAGCAGCGCAGCGCCGATGGCGGCCCCGGTGGCGGCCCCGGTGACGGCCCCGATGGCGGCCCCGCGCTCCCGCCACCCACCGACACGGCCCTGCTGACTCTGAACGTTTCCTTTGACAACAACGGGGGGAGAATAGTTGAGGTCCACAGGGGCACCGGCTGGAGGCTTCTCTTTTCTTTGTTCAGCCGAGGAAAGAGCAAACAGTGAAATATTTCCATCTTGAGAAATACGGTTAATGTGGCTCTGAGAACAGGGCTGGTGTGGATGTTCCTCGGAGCTGTAAAAGGACGCGTTGGAGGAAAGCACTGAAGGGTCCCATCCCTGTCTGACCAGGCTGTGCTCGGGGGGGCCCAGCAATGGCACAGCAGGAACGGGCAGGAACTGATGCCCAGGAAGTGCCACCTGGCCACGAGGAAGAACTTTGCTGTGCAGGGACCCAGCACTGAAGAGGCTGCACAGAGAGGGTGTGGAGTCTCCTCACGGAGATATCCCAGAACCATCTGGATACAATCCCGTGCCATGTGCTCTGGGGTGGCCCTGCCTGAGCTGAGAGGTGGGACCAGGTGACCCACTGTGGACCCTTCAGCCTGACCCATTATGTGACTCTAAGTTAAGAGAAGCCATTTACTAACTCTGAGATACCACAAGCTTAAAAAGCTTTTGTATCCTGTTTGGTACTCACTATTTCAGAATATAATTTCTAAGTTAACTACGTATTTACATCTTAAGTTCTTCAATAAGTACAGTTACTCCTGCAGTAGAGCAGATACAAATCTAGGAGCTACAGATTAAAGAGACTGTACAGTCACAACACATGTCAAATATTTTACATGGTTATGTATCTGCCCCTGGCAAGAAGCAGTGTTCTATAGTAGAAAATTAAAGTAAAACCTGCAGGAAAGCATCTTTACATCACCTGAGAAGTTCACAGATTATTTTAAAGATCAGCACAGAATAAAACCTAGTCAAATTCAGCATTGATAAAGAAACGTTTTAATATATACAAGATGCAACATATATAAAAAGGCAAATTACAACTTCAATTTATGAACAGAGAGTGTTTTCTCCTTCTTCTGTTTCTTCTTTAATTTGCTTGCATCTTTGATTTGCATTTTTACTTGATCTTGCAGTTGAGAAAAGAAGGCCTGGGATGATTTCAAGGCCTTGTCTTTACCTTCATCCTGTCAGTGGACAAAACATTTGTTATAACCAAGAAATGTACAAACAGTGCCATTGTATTACTTACTATAACTCACATATAATGGTATTTGACTTTAAAAAAAATCAGGTAACTCATTTTCAAAGGTTATTTTCCCCCACATTTTTATTCCACTCCTGCTGTCTAAAGATTACATTCCCTTTCTAGACAGCAATTAGCATGACAGGTAAGAGCAGGCATCAAGAACAAATCCTTGCACGTCATGAACTACAACTGGGTATCTGTATTTTGTGTTCTGCTTGCCTTCTGAAAAGCACATTTAGAAGTAACCAAGTTGTTTTTCCTGTTAGTTTTTAATACTTCCAAATTTCAGAGATTTTTGACATTTAATTTATAAGGCATCATAGGTGGTGCACAAGTTTACTGTTTTACAGCATGCAAAACAAAATCAGTCTGATGAGATTATAGGGAGGGCTCCACAAAAAGGACAAAGTTAACCAGGAATATTCTATCACACCACAGCTTCAGTTACTCAAATCTTAGAAAGAACACAGAAACCTCAATCTCAATTGTGCATTCAAGTAGTCCCACTTAATCAAGTGGAATGGTTTAAACGCAGGAAATAAAGAGCATGTTTTATTTGCAGGAACACCACAAAAAGTAGTACCTCACACAAAATCATTTCTGCTTTGAGAACATACTTTCACATAAAGTAATTGTATCATAGAGCTTTTTCATAGTTTTGCATATCTAAATATTAAGCTGCTTACAAATTCAAATATATTCCATACTCTGAGTAAGCTTCTAAAGGTTCTAAAGAACCACTTAGGTATAATGTATCATAATTAAAGTACCATCTACATAAATATGCATTATTAACAAGGGGGTCACTGCAAAGTGCAACAAGAGCTGTATATTTTCAGGCCTCAATACTGACATCATGCTGTCAGGATAATTAACAAAATCAGGACTAAAAGGCATTCAACCCTACTTTGCATAAGACAGCTACAACTAGAAAACTGTAGTTCAAAAGAACACAAGGGAAAGTAAAGGGAAGGGGGAATAAAAAATAAACATAAATAATAAAAGAATATGCATCTGCCCTTTCTGTGCCTTCCTCCCTCCTTCTCTGCAGCAGCTACACTTACACTTTATATTTGCTCACACATAAGGTCACGAGGTTTGGGGGGTAAGCACAGATTCTATCCTTGTGCAAGATTTTTTGAGGGAATGAAGAAAGACTTGTGACAAGAGGGATGAGAGGGGAACAAACCTTATACCTTGTAATTCTTTGGGATATAGTAACCTTTTTTCTCTCTAGCTAAAATTGTCTATCCTTGGGGTCTTAATATTCTGTAGGTGGGAAGCTCCAACTTAGACTGTCTTACCTTGAGCAGAGATGCTTTGCCTTCTTTTGTGAGCTGTTTTAATTTTGCTGCAGCAGCTTTTTTGCTGAGTTTTGTGCCTTGCTCTGGTTTCATCTTTTCTAGAAGCTTTTGGCGTTTCTCCCTCTCCCTTCGCCTCATACGTTTGCGGAGCTTTTTCCTTCTTAGTTCTCGTTTTTTGTCCGTGGGAGTCTTTTCTGCATTTGTTTTTACATCTCCAGCTTTGTTCTTTTCCTAAAGAGAACAAGATCCCTAGGTCCATAATCTGTCTCATTATTTCAAGTGAGTGCCAGCTCAAGGCAAGGTTGGATTAAGGCAAAGGCCAAAAACTGGGAAAAGCTGGGAAATGAGATTTGTACAACTGATTGAGGACATGCTAATTGCTCTTCTCTACTGTCATTTAGCTTTTGCCTTCCAAATACCCATACATATGTTGGGAAAACAGTTAGCATCAGATAATAGTAAAGATGAAAAACACAGCACAATATTACAGCACCAAATAAAATGAACTCTTTCCCCACCTTTCAGTTAGCAAAAAAAACCCCACCCCCAAAAAACCCCCAACAACAACCAGCACTAAAATGCTAGGCAAGAAGGTCCACAAGGTGAGGAACCACCCACCAGGGTGGGAAGGGGCAGAATTCCCACTGATCTGGCAGTAAACATCCTTCTGTAAACAATGAAGATCCTTTCTCCATCCCTATGCAGTTTGATCCTTACCTTGATCTCCTCTGGTGCTAAGAGAGCAGCATCACTGACAGCAACAGGGGCCACTTCTTCCATACTTATGGCTGGAAGGTTGGAAACTATTTTAACTTCTGGTACCGGCTGGAAATAAGGAGACACATTCAAGCCTGAGCACAGCAGCTCACACTAACTGAAGATACCCAGTGTTTGGGTTTGTTTAGAGGCAATCACAGTGCATTTAATGTGAAGTAAGAATGAGCTCAGTAAACATCAATGTTTACTTTACTTTCCGTTTCTGAAATATATTTTGAAGTATCCAGTTTAAAAAACGGGGGGATACCCAACTTTATGAGACTTATGTACTTACTGGTTTGGGTGTGAAGTGGAAGTTACAGAGTGCATCCAGCTTCAGGAAGAGCGAGTCCATCATTTCCTGAATTTCTTTGTGTTCAGGATTTTCTTCCTCTTCAGTCTTTTGCTGCATTAATAATGCAATGTTACTGCAACACCATTCCTAAAGGTATTTGACTTTAGCAAGACTGATAACAGCACAACGTACAACCAGGAGCCATTTCACTGGTGAACACTGAGAGAAAGATGAAAACTCTGAAAGCAGAGTTAGCAGTGTATAAAAGAACATTCAAGATTATGTGGTGTGAACTTGAAGGAAAGGCACTGTTTCTGTTACCTGGTGAAGTTTCACATATTCTTGCTCATAGATTTCAGCAAGACTCAGCTTACTCTTTTCATGATCCAAAGTGATACGTTTCTTGTATTCAAAAGCCTCCTCTTTCGGTTTTTCTTTTGGTACCACATCATCCCACGCCTGAGGAAGTGACAAAGTAAGGACCAAATGCAACTACAGTCAAATATCAGGTGGTACAGCTTATTTGGAACATTTTTCAATGACTTATCTGGCACATTAACTAGTTCATGCATATGGCTTCCCAGAAACTCAGGAAGTTTTACATTTCCATTTGAAAAACAAAAAAAGTAATAAAAGTTATAACTCTAGCTTGTGTCCTTGTTTTTAGTGAATTGGGGCACAACCTGTAACAAATGTGTAATTTTCTTAAGTACTTAAAAACTCTCCCCCATATGCGCCAATTTTTTTTAATTCAACTAAGTCTCGACAAGCTGCAAGATAAAAATTTTTTATCAGTGGCTTTTAAGAAAAATAAAGTAAACAATAAAATTTTTTTAGCAGTGGCTTTTAAGAAAAATGAAGTAAACAACTGAGTTTTGGTCAGTATTCAGAATGCTCAGAGCACTACAGATGGTAACAGCCAAAACTTACAGACTGGCATTACATTCCTAAATAAACTCCTTACAGTTTTATCTGCAAACACTCATTTTTTGAAGCACACCAAAATCTGGCATATAACAGGGATGTAAAAATAGGGCTTCCTAAAAATCTAAAGACACATTCATCAGGGCAGAAGAATAAAACAGCCAGTTGCAGAAATTCAGATAATTCTACACCTGGCATTGGAAGTGCTTCATCCTTGGAATGTGCCCTGTGAACGAAATCTATTAACTAAATAGGAAGGAACAAGTCAGGTAATATTGACCTCATCCAATATTCTCTGTTTAATGACATCTTCAAGCTGAAAAGTAGTTTCTTCTGTAATCACAGGTGCTGAAAGGAGAAAGAGAAGAGTTTTAAGATTAGTGTTTCTCCAGCAAGAAATACCTTTTGTTCTATAAAGAAAAAACAACAGAAAAAGAAAGTAAAACCTTTACATAAATGTAATAATTGAAGGCGAAGTAAGTAAATATAATTAGAAGTCATATTATGTAAGGCTTGTAAATTACTAAATCTGTCACTGAATTAATGAACTTTCAGTTTAATTAAAAATTAACAAAAAAATACTATAGTTTCCTGTAGTTTTCCCCATGGAAATGCACCACCTCAAAATCCCATGAAGAAGTTTAACTTGGCGTTTTGTTACCCTGCTCTTGAGTCACAGGAGTTTTCAGCAAGGTCAAAGGGAAGAACACTTAATGTGGTATCCAACATGCTTCCAAGGAAAGCCCTCTCCCACCACTCACCCATTCGGACTGCATGGTCAAAGAGCACTGTTTCCTCCAGAAGGCTGTTCTCAGGTCGTTTTTGTCCAGTCACTTCTCCTTTAAGCTGCCAAGGTTTCTCCTCTAACAACTCTTCTTCTAAAGTTTTGATTTTCTTGCTCATCTGAAAAACACAATTTCCTAAGAAGTTGAAAACAGAGCTCACCAATAAATTCAAGGCAAGAAATGAATACTTATTGCAGGTCCTTCTAACTCCTCCTCATATAAAAAAGAGGGAACATATGATTGCATATATATCTGATGTAGATAAGCCGTATTTTTTTTCTTACATTGTAAATACCCTCTCCATACTTGCCAGAACAAATTACACAACCAGTAAGAAAAATATTTGCCATTGTTTTGAAGTATTAGCAAAATAAAAATAAAAAACCCCAATGAAAACTGACACACAGTTACCTTCTCCTGCCTCTTCTCAAAAGATGACTTTGTTTCACTGGGCTCAATGCCCTTCTCTAATTGCATTTCAGTCACATCTTCTGTGTCACTGTCATCTGGCAAACTAAAAGTAACTTTTTTAGATGCTTCTTTACTTCTCATATTCTCCACCATTTCATCCATATCCTCAAACCTGTAACAATAAAATTTAAGATCAAATAAAGGTTGAAAAGCCTCTATAATTTTTTACATGAAGATATTTCAGCCCTTAGATGTTCACCTGTTACAACTCACAGTTCAGAAATACAACACGTTTCAAAGATCCCTCCTAAAGCTAGGGGACACTAGGGAAACTTCTAGATAATTTCAAAAAAATGAAGTTACAGGTCTTAAATGCTTTATGCAAATAAATATCAAAAGACAATACTCTAAAAAAAAAGTAAATAAACCAATCTGAAATAATGGGTTATTTCAATAACCAATTGTTGAATTGGTTATTGAAATAACCAAATGCAAACCATGCACACACAACAGTTAACTGAGAATGGCAAACCATGAAAGTCAGCCTGGCATTCCCACTGGTTTTTCTGCTTCACCTCAGTGTAAAATTACGAGGACATTTTCAAGTGCAAATAATGCAAATACTTACTCAGACATGCTTTCTTCATTTTGCTCTTCAACTGCACTGTCTGCTTCCTCTTCCTGACCATCTTCAATGTCACTACCTACTAAGTCACCATCATCACCATCAACTGGATCAAAGAAATCTTTGTATGTCATATCTCTAGAACTTTTAATTGGCTAAAAAGGTGAGAGAGAAAGGGAAAAAAACCAAACAACAAATGGCAGCTGTTAAGACTGACAGATATCAAAGGGTATCCTCTCTCCTGAAGCCTTTAGTGCCTGGGGAATGGCACTACTGGTGGAACAGTAATTCAGTTTAGTGAAGCACTGACCTGTGGTGGGGCATCTTAGTAAAACTTATTTCTTTTACAAGTATTTAAAATACCCTACCACTTGAATATATGGAAGTCAAGGAGTGCTAGATTTTGCCAAATACGTGTTGGAATGCACACAAATTCCCTGGGTACTTTTCTTATTTCCAGTAAGAATCTCTGGTAATATTAAATAACAAAAGATTTATTTTTCAAACAATTGCTCATCAACTTAAGCCATGTCAGAGTTACAAAGCCGTGTCCCTGGAAAAAGTCCTTTGCTCTGCATCAGTCTCCTCAGTGATCTGTACCTGCCAGCTGCCAATGCTGAGTGACAAACCTTTTTATTGTTGGGTCCCCAATTCTGCAAGGTGGTTTATTTCTTGTCACATACTATCTCTTCCTTTACTTAAGCAAAAGACCCAAGACCCATCTAAGGAGAGACTGGAAGAGCAGAATGCTATGTTCTTCCACGCTAGGACATTTTCTTACCAGATATTCATGTCAAATACATTGTTAAAGTAAAGCTTCAGGAGTCATTAGTCACCTAATCAAGTTTAACTGGGTAGTTTCTACTCGGAGTTCAACAGTTTATAGTCACCCTAACAGATACCAGATCTTGATTTAAAGGAAAAGAGATATCAGAAAATTATTTTACTGATATTCTTACTTTGACTTTAGCATCTTCTGACTCTTCTTCCTCATCATCTGAGATAATGTCTTCAAAATAATTAATATCATCTTCCTCCTCCTCATCTTCCTTCTCTGCCTGTTCTAAAAAAGCTTCCATCTCAGCCAGCTTGAAAAACTTGTCATCCACTACAGATTTTCTTCCCACTTTTTTCAATGTGGTTTCCTTGGCCGTTTTAGTTTGTTGCTCCAGTGCTTCAATATCAAAGTCAATATCAGAATCCTCATCACTGTATTTCTGCATTATGCTTTCTCTGAGTTTACTTTGCTTTTCTTTAGCTTTAGTTATATCTTTTGTATAAACATCCTTCTGTTCAGCTTCTGCTTCCACTGTGTTGTCTTCCAATTCCTCCTCACTGCTGGGCTCTGCATCAGAGCCATCCTCTTCCTGGTCCGAGAGAAGGCAAAGATCATCATCCTTGGCATCCCTGGCAATGGATTTCCTGAAGAAATCGAGAACTGCACTGTTCCGGAGCTCCAGTTGTTGCCAAATCTGTTCCTCATCAAAGTTTTCGATCACCAGCTCTTTTAGAGGACCCCCAGGCACGATGTTGTTTCCTTTATTCAAATCATAGAGAGTCTTTGTCAATGCTCTGAAGTTGGCAGCCAGTCCCTCTTGCACACTAAGAGCAGGGGAAAAAAGAGAATTAAAAGCACAAGTTCGTATTAGTTTTTTACTTTGCAGATTTCACCAGCTCTGATTCGTTTTACACCTTCCATGAAGTTATCACATGGTCACACTTGCTTAGGCATTCTGGTGCTACAGAACAGCAGCTCTCAACAACTACTGGGGTGGCTTAACCTTCTACACATCTCCTGGAGTACTGCCACTACACACTCCTAGAAATAGAGACATAATTCCTAATCCTTTCAGCTTCATTACACTTTGTGTATGAAGCAGCAGCTGCACAGAACACTCCACCCTTCTCTAGCTGCATCTTACAATATGTCGATCACATTTAAGCGCTCCAGGAGTAAACAGTACAGCACCTAAACACCTGAAACACCCGAGACCCAGACCCTTGGATTTGAAGCGGTGACTGCCTCCCTCCACAGCCTCATCCTCAGCGGTGACTGTCTCCCTCCTCGGCCTTTACACCGGGTTTTTCTCCAGCGCTGCCAATGCTCCCCCCCGCCGCCCCGCGTACCTGAGGAAGCGCTCGGGGCGCGCGGCGGCCGCTCCCGTTACCCTGAGGCCCGTCTGGATGCCCTGGATGCCCGGGATACCCGGGACGGGCCCCGCCGCCATCGCTCCGCCGACACGTGTGAGCCGGCCCCGCCCCCCGCGCCACCGCCGGGCGGGCCGGGCACCTCCCGCGGCCGCCGCCGAGGTTCCGCGCACGGCAGTTCCGCCCGCCGAGCTCCGCCCCACCGGAGCCGCCCCCCGGGCCCTGGGCCGGCTCTCAGGAGCGCCTGGGCCGCCCGCAGGGATGGGAGCCGCGGGGCGGGCGGTTTCCCCCGTGAAGGGCGCAAGGTTGCCATAGGCTGGGATGTTCATCGGCACTGGAAAACCTGTTCTAAATATAGCAAATACAGTCATCCTACTTCACAGTTTGGAGTCTCTGACCCAGATACAACGCCTATTTTGGATGCACACGTTTCCACCTCATTCTGTGAGCAAAACGCCTGACGTTACCTGGCTCAGGCTGACAAGGAATGCACTCACCTCCCTGCACCATCAGCACAGCACTGCCCACTGCTCTTCAACTGCTTTGTTACATCACACAGTTTCCTTAGAGCTTATTTTATAAAGTCAATTTAAGCCCTATACTCCCTTACCCTTGTGGTTCCAGCCACCCGCAGCCCTTGAGCGCCTTCAGCAACTGTGACCAGCCTTCTAACTCCAGCACTGGTACTGCCTCGGCTGCTTTCATGTTTCCTTCTTACCAACAGATGAAGTCTGTTCAGTGCAGAGAAGACAATGCCCTGCAATGGCACTTCTGTGCATCCTCTCACTGTCACTTTGCACCCTCAACAAACCACTGTGTGGAGCAGGGCCCAGCCAGCAGCGTGACCTGTGCCTGCACCGCTCCGCACATCAGAAACACACCCAACACTTTACAGCCTGGGCTGGAATTTCAAAGTGTCAGATATTGGGACTTTTAAATATCCATTTTGACTGCTGACTTTGATCTGCACTTTTAATTATTCACATATTACCAGGTTTGAAATGGCACAAGGTGTTTGTGTATTTGGGATGTATCTCAGCAGCCTGCAGTGTGCTGTACCTGACACAACGGGAATGCAGCATCAGCAGCCAGCCCGCTCACTGTGCTGTGTCTCTTTGGCACAGGGCTTTATAGCATCCTGGCCCGTACCAGGAATAGAGTGGCCAGCAGGACTAGAAGTGATTCTTGCCCTGTACTCAGCACTGGTGAGGCCACACCTTCAATCCTGGGGTCAGTTTTGGGCCCTTCAATTCAGGAAGGACATCCAGGTGCTGGAGTGTGTCCAGAGAAGGGCAATGCAGCTGGTGAAGGGTCTGGGGCACAAGTCTGATGAGGAGCGGCTGAAGGAGCTGGGGGATCAGCCTGAAGAAAAGGAGGCTCGGGGGAAATTTATTGCTCTCATCAACTCCCTGACAGGAGAGTGGAGCCAGGTGGGGGCCGGGCTCTGCTCCCAGGGAACATGGGACAGGACAAGAGGACAGTCTTAGAGCTGTGCCAGGGGAGGTTTAGGTTTGGCATTAGGTAGAATTTCTTCTCAAGAAGGGTGATCAGACATTGGAATGGGCTGCCCAGGGAGGTAGTGGAGTCACCTTCCCTGGAGGTGTTTAAGGAAAGAATGGACGTGGCACTGAGTGCCATGGTCTGGCTGACAAGGTGGTGTTCAGTCACAGGTTGGACTCCATGGTCTCAGAAGTTTTTTCCAGCCTCATCGATCCTATGATCCCCTGTGATTTGGTCAGAAGCGCTATCTCTGCAGGTGTCTCTGGCAGCTCTCCCCCAGCTCCGCGCAGCGCCCAGCGGCGGGCACGGCGCTCCCCTCACGGCGCTCCCCTCACAGCCCTCCCCTCACCGGCCTCCCCTCACGGCCCTCCCCTCACAACGCTCCCCTCACGGCGCTCCCCTCACAACCCTCCCCTCACCGGCCTCCCCTCACGGTGCTCCCCTCACAACCCTTCCCTCACAGCGCGGCGCGGGCCCAATTGGTGCCGAGCTGCGGGCACGGCCCCTCGCCGTGATCCGCCCCCGGCGCCGGGCCCGCAGCCGCGGGGCGGGGCGGCCCTGACATGGCGGCGGTGCTGCGGCGCGGGGCGGCCGGTAACGGGCCGGGAGCGGGAACGGGACCGGGGCGGAAACGGGACCGGGGCGGAAACGGGACCGGGGCCAGGAACGGGGCGGGCGGTACCGGGGCCGGGGGGAGCGCGGTGCCCGCCGCGCTCGGTGCCCGCCCGGACGGAGCCCCAGCCCCGCTCCGTGCCGGGGCCGCCAGGGCGATCTCCGTGAGCGCCTCCCAGGCCAGACGAAACTACCGCTTTTTCAATAGAAACAAGGTCTCCCGATCCGATTCACGGGCATATTAACAACTGGCATTAACTGGCTTAGAGTGAACTTCTGCAGCAAACTCCAAACTTGAGGCGTGAGGAGGAGCTTAGCTTTTTTAAGTCGGAGCTTGGCTTTTTTGGAGGTGAAATTCAACATCATTTCCCGTTCGTTATGATAACCTAGACTGTTTTCTCTCTTACTAATAAGTGAGGGTAGGTTAAACTCGCCATACCTAAACCACACTATTTTACTTGGTAGCCATAGAAGGCAAGAGAAAAGTGAATGAGAGAGTCGGCGCTGTCAGTGATGGATCAGTAGGATACTGGGAAAGAAAACACCTTTGTGTAACTGCACTTTGGTGGAAGAAACCAGAGCTGCAGCACAGTGAGACTCAGTCTTTGTGACCTGTGGAGCCCCTCTGATTCCCAAAAGCCCCCTCCAGCTCCCAGCAGAGCAGCACTATGGATGACCTAAGCTTAGTTGGCTGACTGAGTTCCCAAGATGCTCCCACCGCCTTGAAATTGCTGGGATTTGAGGATGGCCAGACTGTGCCCGTGCTCCGTGTGGTCCAGAGGGCTAACAACGCACAGCCCCTGTGTGCCGGGCTCCCTGTGCTGAGGGCATCCTCTCCGTGCTTGGGAGCTCTTCTCCACCTGAAATGGTTGACAATAGAGCAGTGCCCAGTGATGGGGTTCTCACTGCAACCCGCTGTTGTAAAACCTCCCCGCAGAGAACCTGACTCAATTCAGTTGGCTTTGGCTTGTGTTTGGTTCTTTAGCCATGTAAGTCAATGAACACTGTCCCATGTTAGGAGCACTAAGCCTATGAATCAACATTTGAGGGATGGGGATCTCAGTTTATGGGACTTGTTACTTCATGTTCATAATCTGCTCTGTCACAGAATGTAAGCCTCACCTGGTATAACTACATTTTAATTCTGATGTGCATAATACTAGTAGATCAGTCAACCATGAACAGAATAAAACCCAAATAGACCAATTTAAAAATGTTCTTTAAATGAAGCTGGAAAAGGTTCCATATATTCTGCAGTATCACTGAGGCTAGGAAGCCAGCATTCTTCTCTAAGAGCAGGGTCAGCTGGATCTTCTCTAAAGGACAAAATAGCAAGTCAAAATCAGATTTGGTTGTCAGTGTTTGAGAAATGAGATATTAAAAAACCAAAAACAGTAGGGGCAAATGCTGTGTATACCAGGAGAAGCAACTTCACATGTGATTTGGGTCGGCATATGAAGGTTTTTCAGGCAGGACAGGTACTTGGATGGATGCTTCAGTCATGTCCACTGGCTTCACAAGACTCACAGAAAGTAATGGTTTTTAACACTGGAGAAAGTTAATAATTACTTGAATAATTCTGTCAGTGGAGAAATGATTTTCTGATTGAAGAAATTAGCCACAACAGTTAATAGGACTAGTTGTGTGATATATACATAAATATAAGTGGTTTTTTCCTGAGACATGGAAGTAATGGGTTTTCAATCTGAAGTGTGCTGAAAAGGTTTCTTTTTCACTGCAGGGTCATTTTCTGATTATTGGATTAGAAGAAGATTAGAATTTTAAGTAATCTATATAGTTACTAATCTAGATAATGCAAGAAAAATGCGAATGCTTTTTGTTTAATCTCAGTCAATTCAATTATGGGTTTAAAATTAATGCTCTATACGCATATGACTAGACCTAGGGTAAATTCACAAGACTTCATGGAATAAATGTCCATATGAGTGGGCATTTAAATATTTTTGACTTTACAAGAATCCTAGGAATATACTTCACTTTTTCAATTTATTGTCTTTCCAGGAAACACCACAAAAATCAAATATTTCTTGGGCAGAACCCAACAGAAAGAACATTTTCTGTTGCTATTTTTGCTATTGCTTCGGTAATAGCTGAGTAACAATCTGTCTCTGTCAATTTACTTGAAAATAGAAAAAATACAAATGAAACAATAATAACCATGTAGTCATAGCCCTGAGTGAAGTGCAGCAAGAATTACAGATGGGAGATGTAAAAAAGAATGGGAAAAATCTTAGTATTTCCTGTTAGTAAAGATTCCTTGGAAAAAACCCTTCATCAGTAGTATTTCTATTGAACTGTGGTCTGTTCATATTTGGAAGAAAGAATAACACAATAAAAGGGTCTGGGAAACATAACAAATGGTATAGTAAGGGATCCTTCTCTTTCAAAGAGTACTGCCCTTCTCCAAGTGGAAGATTTTCTCTTCAGCAAGAATTGAATCAGGTCTTAAAAAGTTACTGTAGGAAACTGAGCTGCTTCAGTAGAAGCTTAGGTGGATACAAAAGACTGTTGGGGTTTTTTTTGCTTTTTTAACACATTATTTACTCTGCTGGTCTGGTCAAACTCTGGTTAATTATCCATGTTTCTAATTGTGTCACCTAGACACTGCATGTGTCTTATCTTGTACATTATAGGCATTGCACAGTATTGCTTCCTCAGGGAATTGCTTTGATCACTCCTCATTCAGATGCATTTAGATGGCAAGTCTGTCTACAAAGTAGTTTCAGCATAGACATCTCAAAACCAAGAATTTTTCTTCTATGTACAGGTTGCTAGGGGATTTTTGAACACGTAAAAAGTTGAAAAGTAGTTGCTGTACTATACCGGTGTGAGAGCCTAAAGGTAACAAGTGAAGAATTGTCCAGAACTTCTGGCTGTGACGAAGGAGATGACAGGATGGACTTTGTGAAAGTTTGGCAAGAAATAGTCCAGGGCAGTGACCTGCAGAACTGGACAAGTTTCTGGCAATACTTAATGTAGGATGTTGATTTAGTATTACCAAAAGATTCTGAATAGACTTACTTTTGTGATATTAAGTGCTTGGTAATATGTACTTTGCATGTTGTGATTCAGTGTCAAATACACACAAACATTTCCTCTTTCATCACAGCACAATGCTCAGAAAGGCTTAAAGGATTGCATCAGTTGTCTTTGGGCAGAAAAATTAACTGATGGCTGTAGAGTCTTGAATTCCCATGGAATGGTAGTTCTAAGTTTCATACAGTGAAGATAAACTGATTTATTACAGCTACTACTGCCCTCCCAGAGAACCTGGAGTCAGGGCAGGCTGTCCTCAGTTATTGCAGGGCAGCCAGAACCTCAGGGCAGGCTTGGCACAATCTCTTAGCAAAGTAGCACATTTGTGAATTTAAAGCTAAGAATGCCTCAAAGACTTCAAAAATGCTGCAGTGCCTCTGGCTTGGCCTGGAGGCATTGGGGACTCTGACTTGGCCTAAAGCAAACTGGCATGGAATTGAAGTGTGGCTTTTGTGAATATATCCTTTCATCTTATTCGAATTCTGGTGCTGGAAAAAACGGATACGATCACAATTCCTCCCCACCCTCTCCAGATTCTGGTACTCTGACAGGTTAATCTTTAATGTAATTTGTTTGTGAGTATCCTTGTTTTGTATGTTGGGGTTTTTTTGTGATTTTTTTAATAAAACAAGCAACCCTATAACTACTTGTGACCAACACAACAATGTGACACAGGGCAAAGATCAGCATTGCCTTGTCAGAGCAGTCTTTGAAGAGTTCTGAAGATAGAATCTAAACCCTTTTTCATGACACTGTGCTTCTCCATGACTTCTCCATCTTTTCTCTACTTGTTGGCCCTAACCTTTGTGTCACATGGTCATCCAGGTTTTTTTTATAATTAACTTTTCATTTATGATGAGCGAGATCATATTCTTTTTCTTCAGTAAGCCACACTGAAGTCAGTGGCACCAGTTAAATTAAACAAAGTATTATGATTTTGGCCTTTAAAGAGGATCTAAATTATTATTGGTCCATTGGACATGATATTGTGCAAAGTACTTAGAAC